CCTTTATCACAACAAGTTATTATTGATTTAATTGTATTTTGTGAACAACCAAGTTGTTCTCAATTACCATCATCTTGTCTACCACTTTATTATAATAAACAATATCAATTATTTGCAACATGTTATTATGAAGAATTATCAGTTAAAATTGTTCAAGAATGGTCAGATTATCTTTATATGACATCAATTGCATTTCTATTAACAAAAGAATATAAAGAAACAATTTTAAAATATCATTGGATATTAAGAGTTGATCAAGATGCTGTTTTAAGTCCAGCTTTACTTTTTGGTCTTTTAAAAAAACATCCAATTAAATTACATAATATACAATTTGGAGCAGTAGGACATGGCAATGCTTTTACACATGAACGATTAAAAAATATTTCAAAAAAATTAGGTTATAAACATGCTGGAATACATCATCTATGTTCAACATGGTTAGTTCATCCAAATGATTCAATTGAAATTGCTAGATTAACAACAATTATTGGAAGACATTTTCTACAAAAAGAATATGGACCACATGTTCCAGGTAAAATATTATCTAGAGGGTGGGTGCGGCAATAGGTGTGGGCGTGGGGTGTAGATATGCGTATGAATGTTGCTGTTATTTTTTTTGTCTAAGTCGACACCCACTCTTACCCTCAAAACTACTGAATAATTAATGTAATTTATATGAATATAGGTCTTGAGACATTACCTGCGATCGGTGAATGGCCAAAATGGTGGCGTGGTGTAACATCATTATATGCTGCTGAAATAGGAATAAATCATTTATATTTTTCAAGTCTTGGTCATCAACATGAATCAAGTGCAATAGATCATCCAGGTTTTTCAACTCAATCAATATGGAATGCTTGGCATATCCATTGTTTACATAATTCAGCTGAATTTTCTAAATTTAATCATCGTACTAAATTAAGTCAATTTTTAGACCTTGAACAACCGATACGAATTAATAAAATGTCGAATATTACTTATACACAAAATATTTTAAAAGAAGTTATTAATGAATTTCATATTATACAAAAAAATAATGGTCAAATTTCCGGAAAAATAACTGTTAGAGATTATGTTACAGCATTAGCATGGCAAAAAACACATGCAGCAATAGGTGCTATTAATTTAGATTAATCTATTATTTATTTCATTTAATCATTCATGTCTTTGTTTCTTCTTTATCTATTTTTTGATTAAAAATTAATTACTGTTTGATGAAGAACAATTAATAAATAGATGTCTAAGTCATACTTTCATATTAAATTTTGTCTCTATCCTAAAATCTTGAGTGTGGGTGTCGATGTTAACGTAAGATTCATCTGATCAAGCAACTCCCGTCCCTTCCCCCCACACACACATCAACTCATGAGAAGGTCGATTTCTTGCTCTTTGATTGTAACTAGTGTAAGCATTTATTCTTATTAAAAATAATCGTCGTATTTATTTTTCATCAATTCATGTAACAAGTCTTTTGAAACAAAGGAATCTTTTTTTTGAATGATGTTGGTGTCGATGTGTCGCGTTTTCACTCACGTCCTCACTTTCCGTTTCTTATATCTTTGAATGCGATGATTTCCTTGATCAAGAACATAAAGATATTCTTCATTGTCAAATGATAAACCCCTGGGACAATTCAACTGATTTGATTGAATTCCTTCACCATTTCCACCAACAACAACTTCACCTTCTTTATCTCCTTCACACCAACGCATTATTCGATGATTCGAAGAATCTGCCACATAGATTTGACCTGCATGATCAGCAATCACTCCTTGAGGAAAAGACAATTGATTAAGATTTCTTCCTTGACCATTTCCTCCAGCAACAATAATTCCTTCTTTTGCATCTTTTTTCCATTTTACTATACGATGATTCAAAGAATCTGATATATAAAGAGAAGAATCTTCATCAATAAAGATATTACGAGGTTCGTTAAGTTGATTAAGATTATTTCCCCGACCATTTCCACCTGCAACCAATTCACCAATTATATCTCCATGTTCATATCGTCTTATCTCATTATTCATATGATTACAAATATAAATAAATCCATTTTTATCAATTGTCAATCCGTGACAATCAATATTTGAAAAAAGAATTTCTTGATTTTGACCAAAAGATCGAATTATTCGACTGTATCCCAAATCAGAAATAACGAAAGAATTATTTTTTTTATCAAAAATAATATCTACTGGCCACTTCAATTTGTTATTTTCATTTCCATCTGTCATGATTTGCCCAATATTTGAATTGAATTCCCATTTAACAATACGAGCATTCCTTCCATCAGCAATGTAAATTGATTTATCACTATCAACAAACATAGCTAGAGGTGAAGAAAGTTGATTTAATTCATGTCCTTTATCATTTCCTCCAGCAACAGTAATTCCAAATTGTTGAAATTTAGTTTTTACTAAAAAAATTTTCTTCATTTTTGCAAAGATTTTTTAATAAAACATACTGTGTACTGATTGAAATTCAATTGATATTTCATCTATTGTTCTTGGATCCTCTGATATAGTAGTCGTACTAATTAAATTTATGGATCTAGATAATTCTTCATCATTAATTTCTTTCAAATGAATAATGTTTAATTTATTATGATGATTTAATGGTTTAATAGATACAACTTGAAGTATTGTTTCAGGCATTAAAATAACTTCGTTTTCATTTGGATAGCATGTATATGATGAAATAAATCTTCCATTTAAACAATCAATATGAAATAATGTGCTTGTAGACGATTTATTGAGAAATGAAGAAATAATATCAATAGATGTTGAACATGAAGTTATACCCCACCAAGTAATTCGTTGATCTTTTTCAAATTTCATAATAACATCTTTATTAATACCACGAAAAATAGTTCCTTGAAATTTAGGTAATTTTGATATTGCAGAATGTAAAAGTTTTAAGTATCCAAACCATGGAAAAACTTTTGATCGATCTTCTAGATGAAGTGTTTCATTTAAAATACAATAAATACTTGAATCATCCGATATTTCCATCATATAAATATATATTGCAGCGGATTCATCTTTTGTTAAATTATGCTCATTTGGATATGAACAATATATTTTAGCTAGTGTAATAAAACGATTTATTTCTTCGAAAATATTTTCCAAATCTTTCATTGCTTCTTCAAGAGATAATAACTTATAATTAATATAATCATCACATGCTGCTAAATGTTTGTTTTCTAATTCGATATCTGTAAAACGATTTCTTGAACTGCTCATTTTTGTCAACTGATTATTTGACTGTTTTTTTTGTTTGTTTGATGATTAACTAAATTATAGGAAATAAAGAAATCTTAACGATGAATGTGGGCTATATATATATTACTGACAATCAAATCCGATAATGACGAGAAATAGTGAAACCATTATTTTTAATAATTATTAACTTAAGTCTACAAAATATACACATACCTTTGATATTTACCTTTGTTACAAGTTAGAGCGCAAACGTTTGTGAGAACAACTTGAAATAAATATTTCTTTTGCTTTCTCAGTGCTTATATATGGTATTGAAAGTATGATTTTCACCGTACTTATACTAATATATGCAGAAAAGGAAATAATTAATTTTTTTTCATCGTTCGTAGAAAGAATTGATCAAGTCATAATGTATTAAATATATTAATATTTTCAATACGAAATGTTATTGCGTAAGAATATCAAAGATTTTTCTTAGAATTTGCTCAGCTGATCGAAATTATATAAGTATGATATACGGTAACATTGATCAATCTATTCTGCATTCTACTATTGAGAAATATTGGAACAATGATTGAAAATAAATCAATACTTTAGTGTCTATGCGAATTTAATGAGTCATTGTAAAAACAAATAGCACAACGGTAGTCATTAAAACAGTACGTTCTTTTTCTGTGAAATAGCGCATGTATTATATAAATATATTACAATTTAGATTAAACCACCTTTAAAATTAAAATTTAGTTTTAATTAAAAAATGATTGGTTCAATTAAATGGCAGACAACTGGCAATGTCGATTTGCGGCCACATTTTTCACACGCGAGTGTGGGTGTGGACTAATCTTTTCTTTTGTCATACCCACACCCACACCCTAATTACAAGGAATAACAATAAAAGTAGTAAATTTATAACAAAAATTATTCGTGTTATAGTTTTATTAATTTTATAGTAAATAAAATAAGACATCTTAATATTTTTCAATTTCATCTGTTGGCGATGATATTCTATTCATTTGTTGTTCTCTTTGCCATGTTTGAATTTGATGAATTAGTCTAGCAGATATTTGTCTATAATCAGCTGCTGGAAATTTTAAATTAGCTAATTTTTGTAATCTTAAAATACTTAATTGTTGATAAATACTTTTATTTTTCGATATATTTGCTGTTGTTAATGAAAGTAAATCATTTAATAATTCTTGTAATTTATGTCGTTGTTTAGCTTTCATTGTACAACCACACCATGGAAATGAACTCCAAAATTTACTATCGATATATTCATATAACGATTGAATTAATAAATAAAGCCAATCATTTTCATTCATACCATAATTCGTTTTATCTTCTCTATGTATAATATTCTCAATTTGATTAATTAATTTTTTTGATGATGGAAATTGTAAAATTTGTCTATCATATTCTCGTTCAATAATTGACATTGCAAGACTAATTAATATTTGATTATAATTAAATTTATGCGAACCTGTTGAAAATATACATGTTGATAATTCTTCTTGTTCACTAATTATCAAATAAGATTTTTCAAAGCCTTGATAAAATAAAATAGCACATAATAATCTACCAAAATGTGATTTTAAATCAATTTCATTTTGAATAATATGTGATCGCTGTTGAGTTGTATTTAATTCAGTTTGAATTGTAAACGGAAGGTTAGAACTAGTTAATAAAGGATTATCATTATTAGTAGGAACCGTTATTAATCTATTACCAACTTGACAATCTAAAGTTGATTTATAAATATATTTTGCACCATAAACAACTTTCATACAACTTGTCGAATCTGTATTAGCAGTACTATCAAAAACGACTTGATATAAATATTGTTGATCATCTTGTTTTTCATAATTTATTCGAAATTTATTTGCTTTATCAAGTAAATGTGATTGATTAGGTCGTGTAGAACCAAATGCACTCCAGAGATAATTTGTTGATTCGGATTTCATTTGATCTTTAATATTTAAAAACTGTAAATTATTATAATCAAATAAAGCAAAATCAAATTCATTGGATAAATTAGAACCAATTGAAATAAAGCCAGACTTTTCCGAAGATTTCATATGTTGTAAAAATAATTGTGATTGAATTACATTAAATGTTGATTCAAAATCTAAATAAATAAAAATAATTAAATCAGTTGTATTTAACCATTTTATTTCAGGATTATGAAATACACCATATCGTTCAATATCCCATGTTTGACTTGAATATTTAAATAATTGAAAGAGATTTTGATATGCAAGAAATTCAATTCGACCAACTTTAGAATTTGTTACTAAGAGGACGTCTGTATGAATATTTGATTGAAATGTTGGAACAATTCGAATTGTATTTTGACGTTTTTCAATTAATTTATTACGTAATAATAAATCAATTTCCCAAAATAAATGTTCAAAATATTGTTGAGATGAATTTTCATCTAATTTAATCTCAAATTTAATACGTTTTGTTGATTGTGGAGGAATTTCCTCATTGATTTTATAATAACCAAAACCATCGGATTTTATTTCATAAATATATTGATGATCATTTGCAGGGAAAATTTTTAATAAAGAATGAGTTGAAAGTATAAATTCTATTGAACCAGCTGAATTTAAACATTCACCATATACACGTGTAGATATATTTTTAAAATTAATTATAACACTCGATTGCTCACCTGGACCTAAATATGTTGGAATTTCAATTTTTGTTATTTGAATTGGATATTGACAATTTAATGTTGTTGAAATTTTACTTCCAGTAAATAAACGATTTAATAATGTTACTTCTGATGTTACTTTAACATGTCTTAAATAAGGTCTATTTACTGAAACACTACGTGAATCATGTAGATGACATTGAAATTGATGAGAATCAATTACAACTTGATTAATAGTATTACCTTGTAATATACTAATATCATTCATATCTGTACTTATATATTCTGTCGATGGAAATGATAATATTGATCCACTAGGTAAATTCATTGCACCATTATTTATCCATTTAACATTTGTAATAAAAAATATTGAATTTGGCTCATAGATTCCATCGTTATTTTCATCATGAATAGTATAACCATAAACACTAACATGATATTTATCAGAACCTATTTCAATAATGTTTCCATGTATATCAACTACAGCATATTGAATTGAACCACTATTTGCAGTAAGACCATCTTGACCATTGTTGTGGCCATTATTACCATATGCTCCATCAGAACCATCACTACCACTTGGAGCGTCTTCTCCACCAGGAGAACCACCACGACCACCCTTACCGCCACGTCCACCTGAACCACAAGTACCACCTTGACCTTTTCTTCCTGCTCGACAATCCATTTCAATTAACATAAATAATCGAGGATCTGCACTTTGAACTTGGACATGGCCACCAGCGCCTGCATTTCCTCCGTCCCCACCGCATCCGCCATTACCTCCACGTCCTCCGCACCCTCCATTTCCACCAGCATCACCAGCTCCTCCACGATATCCATCACCTCCACGACCTCCTGGTCCTCCATTGCCTCCTAGTCCTCCATTGCCACCATTACCTCCATTAGCTTTCATCAGAATAATACCATTTGATTTAGCCAATTTAAAATTATAACTAACATCATTAAAAGGTTGTTCAAGATGCCAGCTAATATCAGCAGAATTGTTATACGAATTATTTAATCTATTAAATGTTTTTACTTGCATAATTAAATCGTCAACTGTTCCATTTAACCATATCAATGCATTTTGAGAATCTGTACCAAGACAACCATTACCTCCATCTGATCCATTACCACCATCACCACCCTTACTGCCAGGCGTCGTAGCGATCCATCCTGAGGATATAGAGAAATATATGATCGTAAAAGTAGTATTTATATAGGAATTTCATAATAATATAGGAAATATATAGGAATTTATTTCTTCATTAATACGCTTATGATAGACTTATATCAAACGTTGATTAGTGCTCATAAAATCATAACTAGCTATCTTACTCAAAGTTGCGAAGAAATTGGAAACAAATATACACTTTTTAATTACTGAAGAAAATATTCAAAAATTTCGATCTGAAAATAATTAAGAGAAGATATGGTCTCAGTTGGATTTACTTACGTCTGACCAAAAGTTTTTGCACAAAACAAAAATATGAAGATAAGGAGATCTTTTTAATTTAATTTTATCAAATGTTGAGGATAGTTGCCAGTTTTATTTATATCAAGTTCGATCCTTTCTAACAATTTGTCAAAAGTTTTTTTGAAGTCTTTTTCGAAAAACATTTTAGGTACCTTGGAAACCGCATCAATTAATCATGTTTCACCTATTTAATTAGTTAAACTACGTTCGATAGAATTTGTTAGCCAAAAACTACATTGTACCAGGCCTGGCGAATGTGGTGAATATGACATTATATTGGTGTCTTCTTCTGTCATATAATTAATGATATTGGATGAATATGAGGTCAACGATGGTCTTCAATCATTTTTGTACATTTTGAACCTGATGTCTGTGTTTGTTTCCATATTTCATTAACAAAAGGATTCAGGTAATTTTCAGTATCATAGTTGTGACTTACAGTCTTGCCTTTATCTACACTATGTATAAAAACAGGACCATTTGATTTAAAGAATATACCAAACAAAGTTTTGGTTAAAATTTGTCTGCATGAACAACAGTCTGACGATTCATCTTCAATAAGCCAGCTAGCATCACATGACTTATGAATAGCCTATATAAAATAAATCTGTATCCCACCACTAGTAATGCTAGAACGCAAGTGGCATGAATGAATAAAATTTCGCTAAATTTTTAAAAGAAATGAAACATGATTAATTGATGCGGTTTCCAGGGTACCTAAAATGTTTTTCGAAAAAGACTTCAAAAAAACTTTTGACAAATTGTTAGAAAGGATCGAACTTGATATAAATAAAACTGGCAACTATCCTCAACATTTGATAAAATTAAATTAAAAAGATCTCCTTATCTTCATATTTTTTTTTTGTGCAAGAACTTTTGGTCAGACCTAAGTAATGACATATGTACAGAAGCTTTGCGTTGTTGCTGATCGAAAAAATATATATTTCATTTAAAAAAAATTAATTTCTTCTAAATATAGGAAATATAGAAAAAATGCATGAAAAATAGGAATTTATATGAGCATTTTTAAATATATAGGAAATATAGGAGGACTACGAAGCCTGAACTTACTGCCAATCTGTCCACAATGTCCAGTTGAACCATGAATGCCGACATATCCATTTGAACCTGATTGACCAGCAATAGAAATTGTTTGATCCACAGATTTTTGCGAAGCTCGGTAACCTACACTATCAACATCAAAACTAAAATTTTGTAATTCAACTTCTGTAATTATGCTCATTATCCTGCGTTAATTTGAATCAAATGAATTTGATGTTTTTTTCCTCTTCTAATATTATCAATTACGTTTTTATATATATTTTTAAAACATTATTCACCTTTTTTTACTTATCTATATTCATGTGTAGGAGTCAAGTTATTATTAACATTTATCTGCTCTCTTCTATACTCATAGAATCCTTGATATATTTATTTATTTATTTTTCATCTTCTTTTCTAATCTTTTATGACACAAGGTAATTTTATCATCAACATGAATAATTTTGATTCATACGCGAAATTTAGAAAGATAAAGAATAGGAGTGGGTGTACGTGTGGTTTGAAGAAGAAATAAACAACCATACCGACACCCTCAGTGAGAAACGCTTTCAATTCATCCATCTCATTTCAACGATTATCATTGATTGTAGACACTCACACCGTTGAAACTTCTGTTTACTAATATTGACGGTGAGGATACACAAAAGATCGCCAATGTATTACAGAAGAATATAGTGAGACACATTTTTTTTCATTTATCAGCAGGGGTGGCGCGAGTCAGCCAACATTGGGGGGGTGTAGCGAAATTTTTTTGATTTTTTAGGGGGTGTAGCATGATCTCTGTTCAAAAACTTAAGAAAATTTGCCGATTTTGTTGAGCAAAAAATAGAAATTTTCAAAGATTGGGGGGGGGGGGGTGTTACACCCCCCTCCCCCCCCCGGTCGCGCCATCCCTGCGTGCATCATATTAGAACAATAGAATTTTATTTAGTGAATGAACAACCACATTATGTAGAAATTGCAGAATTAGTTGCTGTACGAATGCCTGTAGCATTTTGTGCTTATATACAAGATTGTGGTTATGGTGATAGTTTCAAACGTGCATTATTTTACACTAGTAAACAGCATAATTTTCCACAACGTGCTGCTTGCATAACCATTCTATCGATGTTTGGTGAGTTAACAGTTGAATTATGTGAAATGATCATTGTTGCACTACAAGATGATTCTCATATTCAAAATACTTGTTATAAATGTTTGACACGTATTAATTCTATCAAAGATGAAAAAGTTGTTTTAAATCTATTATTTTCTTACTTGAAATCAAAATCAATGAATATTCGATATATTACAACTAAATTACTTATTCATCTTTCTCAATCTTCTCTCGTGTCATCTGAACAGGTTCAAAGGGCATTGAATGATCTTATATTAGATCCTAGTTCAAACGAAAGTCTATGGTTAATTGAAGAGCAAGAGAATACGCAGAGCGAATGTCATTATTATTATGTTGGAGCATTGAAAGATGTTATTTACTCTTTACTTATTCAACATTTAACTAGAGAAAAAAATGGAATGATTCGAAGAAATGAATTGAATGATATTGACTCAGCTTTTATCGAAGCTGAGAGTGCATCACGTGTAGCATCATGTGTTTATGAGACGAAAAGAGAAGAGAGTTTGGAAATTGAAAAACCTTCTAAAATCAAATCAATTGACTAATAAACATAAAGATTCAATGTTATAGAATTTCTTTCTAAAATAAAATAAGCTCTTAAATCTTATACACAAGAAAGAAAAAGACTTGTTAAGAATAAGAGAAAAAGAATATTACCAGTGACCAACCGAAACAGGTTAGACGGTGTGGGGTGTGAGTATGCGTGTGGGTGTGTTCTATTGTAGATATTCAGAGACCCATATTCACCCAAATCCAGATCCACACCGACACCCATCGTGAGGGTGGGTGTGAATGTTAATTACCACCATTGATATCTGCTGACATTGGATTTACCTACTTGGGTTGGGTATATGCCCATCCTTCTGAGAGAATGAAATAATAAGAAAGAAAGATAATAAGGACAAAGTATCATAGGATGTATGAAATAACGATTGAAAGATAAGGACGGTATATTAAATTAGAGGAAATCGTAAGAACAGCACAAACATCGTTACATATATGATCAATAAAAGTATACTAATCTATCAAACACCAGACAGCATATAAACAGTTAAACTGACTTCGCACCATCGAGTAGAGCCCGCCGGGTCGGGTCCGGGTCTTGAAGCTTTTTCTGACCGAGTCCGGATAAAAAGAAATATATTATCAACATAATATTTTTACACTACTCGGTGAACATGAGAATGCTATTTTGGATTTGAAAGCTGGTTGATAGGTCTTCAGAGAACCAAATCAAAGACATTTTTTTTTGCTCCTTAGTTTTGGTTTTTGGATAGTGATGACTAAAACTTTTTCTAAAGGTACAGTTCGAGTTCAGACTAGTGCTCTTCGAAATTGGGTCCGGGTCCGGGTCCAAAAAAACGTGGACTCGGCGGGATCTACCATCGACATTAAAGAATATGACTATCAATATTTTATACGTACTTTTCAAGGGGAAAAAAGGGGGGGGGGGGGGCGTCTCTTCCCTTTTCATTTTTTTCTCTGTGCTCAGTATTTTTACTGTTCTATGTTACTTTTTATCTTCTGATTATCTCGCAAATCGCTAAATTTTACATCTTTCAATTAGTTTTTCTCGATCTATTGTTTTTTCTTTTCGTGCCCAATTCTACTATTCAGACGTTCGTGAACGCGTGTCGATCCATATAAAGAAAGACTTACATCACTCATTTATCTCTTCTAAGTGATGCATTAAAAACTTATTCTTATTCATCACTTATGAGTAAATAAAGGACATACTTATTGTATTGGTAGGTACAATGTCTTTATAATAATATCATCCATGTGCGATATAACAATCTTCACTAAAAGAATAACACTCTCGTTTTGTATTGTAACGTCGATCGTTATATGCGCAACTTCGTATCCCCGTCTGTTCTGTTCTGTTCTCTTCTCATGCGTAACGAGTGACCTCTTGTCACTAGTATATAAGTATATGTAGAAAAAGAATAGGACAGATGAATAATGAAGTGGACATCATATACCGAGAATAGTGTTAATGGTGCTCCATCAGTTTGTCATTGTGTTCACAATAAAAGAAATCAATACTACAGTCGTAACGAATATCTACTCGTCTCTTTCTTAAATTCTCTATAGCCAACATCATGTCTTATTCTGTTTATTAACTTGGTTACTAAATTCATCCCACAATTTCGGTAAATATTATTGTTTGATTTTTCAATAAAAAATGGAGAACGGATTGCAGCTCAAACAGTCTGAACATATCTTATCTTACGCGAATGATTTTCGGTTAAATAATTCATTGATGACAGTCAAATAGCAATTTTCAATTATCCAAAACAAAATATGATTTTACAACAAACTTCTTTCTACCAATTGAGGACGTCCTATCTGAATAATTGGATTTGATTTATCTATCTATTTCATATTTTATAGAATATTGTGTTTAAAATACAATATTATTCTTTGACATTTGTGTATTTTAGATTTATACGTTTTCAGATTTCTCATTCATTTCTTGTATTTACTTATTAATTAATACGGGTAGGTGTGCGTAGGTGAGGGTGCGTATATAAATAACCAAATATTTAGCTACACCCACCCACAATCTGCTATCTGATCTTTGGTCGGAAACGTTTCTCCGAGTATCCTACTCGCAAAAGTTGATATATCTAAAAACCAAAAACAAACTGATTATTTCAATTCAAAAGTAACGAAAATGTAGGATATTTCTTGAGAGCACTTTTGAGTGAGTGTGACTGTTAGAATTATGCGTATAAGAAAAAAATTCACTCTCTCATCCACATTCTATTTTTCGAATTTTTTAGCAATGTAGTTTGCTCCTATGCAGATAATACAATTATGCTGTTTCGCCGCTTATGGTATCTTTTACTACTACTTGTCTTCTATGTATTTATTAACATACACTTCAGCACTCGAAATTTGAATCCTGATCAAAGTTCTATCAGTGAATCTAGGTTTCATACGAACTCTTCTTACGAACCTAAACAATATAATGAACAATTCGATAATGATGACGTTGTTTTCTTAATTATAACTGGAAAACCAAATCAAGACGACCGTATTCCACTGCAACAGCAAACTTGGATGAGATACACTACTCAAACGTATATATTTAGTGAAACAGCAAGTGGTCGATTACCATTGATAGTACTCCCAAATATAACCGATTCGTATGCTAGTAATGGACCCAAATTTTGGGATGCTTTACAATGGGCTTGGGAAAGATTTCAAAACAGGGCAAAATGGTTTGCGAAAGTAGATGATGATACATTTGTGAATGTCCATGAAATATATAAATTATTGAAACAAAAAGATGCTAGAAAGTTTACCGTATATGGAAGATGTGGAGAACATTTTCTTCCAGAAACACATGTATCTCAGGAAACTTTACCGAAAAATTGGACTTTTGTTGACGGAGGTGCAGGAACATTTATCAGTAACTATGCAATGTCATTGTTAAACTTACATGGATTTTTGAATAAGTCAAAAGTTCTGCAGCGTCATGGGTCAACTCTTTTTGGGTTTCAAGATGCTTCATTTGGTGAAATTATAACCGAAATTGCTCGCAGGGAGACGCTTCGTTACAATCGAACCTTCACTTCACCGTTCATCTGTGAGGATCGTCGTCTTCAACATCAATGTGATCCGAAGCATCCTGAAGCAAAGTTTTGTTTAAGACAGAGATGTACAACATTGCATAGATGTAGAAAAGACTTGATGCTTTTTTGGCACCGTCACTTCTCAATGAGACGTTTAGGAACATAACACTATTAACGCTCATCATACTTATATGTAAATTGTGAATAGATGAGTGTAGCAATCTAAATATTTCAATCAACCTTAAACATATACTCCGCTCTTAAGGCTCTGTGTGTCATTGTTAAGAGTCTGAGCATGAGGCCATTATACTTTTCTCTCAGAAGACCATTCGCATAATGGTTTAGGTACAAGGTAGAAAAAGCAATACTTCTGTATTCTCATTATACTTCAATTTGTTTTTGATTTGGATGAAATCTCGCTTTGCCCTCTTCTTTATATAACAGGGAAGGTAGAAGCGAGTGCAGATGTTGATACAAACATGTTCAAAAAAACTTGTACAAAATTCAATTTTTTTTACAATGATTTTCTTGTATTAGAAGTAGGGATTACACTTTACTTTTTCTTTATTAGTAAATTGTAAATAATATATTTATCATGTTCATGGAAGGTGTGTGAGGGTGCGGATGTGTTTGGGTTTCAGTATTATATTCATCACACCCACATCCACACTCTTGTTTTGATAATTCTATATTGCTCAGTGATGATCAAGTTACATTTACTTTTCTAATTCTATAGTGACAATCGCACAGCTTATGTCACGATATGTTTATTTTAATGAAATTTTTTTTTAAAACACAATTTTATCTTTTAAATAATGCTCTTAATCCATGGTAAATATGCCGATACTCGAGCATACACATTAGGTTTAGACTGTGTAGATGTTGAACATTGACCTGCTTGCACATAACTAGTTACACCTGCAACAACCCATTGCCCATTATGTTCGTATAACATTGGACCACCACTATCACCTTGACATGCTGAATCGCCAGTAACAATATCTCCAACACAAATTTGTTTTTCTTCATCTACCTGAAATCCCCAATGTTGTTGACAATTACCAATAACTTTAACTTTAGTTTGTTTCAATTCATGATATGCAGCTCCGCCGACTTGTGTAGCTCCCCATCCAATAAGAACGACACTATCATTAGATTTAGGATCGGGTCCAGGTAAACATGCTGGTTGCACATATTTGTTAAATTGAACGGGTTGAGCCAATCGAAGAATAGTTATATCATTTTCAATTGTTTTATTATTGTAACCAGGGTGCATGAAGATGCGTTCGACGGTTCTTTTTTGTTGCGTAGCATCTTCATTATTTTTTTTATTATGAAGACCAGCTGTGATGGTGATCGCAGATGGATTATTTGTTCCGATGCAATGAGCCGCTGTTAGTACATGACGCGAATCAATCAGAGTACCACCACATACACCAAGACATATCCTGTTGTTTTCGCATGGTTTCTTTTCTTCATATAGAACTTGCTGAAATTAAGAGAAAAATAATGAAAAATGTTTTTTTTCGAAAGAGAAAAAGTGATATTAGCTCACCCATGGCCATGAGTTGGATACAGCATGAGAACCACCAACAATTCGTAAAGAAGATCTCAGCGAATGTTTGATTTCAGCTCGACCACATGTAGCACTTGTGATGGGTCGTGGCGTTGTTGTTGTTGTTGTAGTTGGTGCAAAATCACTGTTAGCACAACAAAATCGTACTTGATAATCAAGACCAGGAGTAGTTGAACGGAATTCAGCAATGATATTATTCATTGTTGACCATGAGCATCCAAAAGAACTACCGCTAGTAAGTTGGCCTACTGATTGTGCTTGTAAGGCTTGAGGTTTTTCACATGTATCACGACCATTTTGTGCTCTAATTACTGAAAGAACTTCTTTATCCAAATTTCCATTGTCACTTGGTTTAGCTGAATTGAACCATTTTGTCCATGAAGCACTACCCGTACAACTTGTTTCGGTAAAACTCTGAGGATAAAAGAATGTAACCGATGGGCCGGCTCGTATTGATGAAATGCACAGAAGTGCTGCGATAACCATGAAAAACGACATGATATGAGTTGCCAGAAAAAATTAAATATAAGTAAAATGAATCGTTGCCAGGTGTATTTATACGTATATTTTTTTAATGAGAAAAAAATAAAAGATTTAATGTCACAAGAAACTGGATATTCTCAAAAATAATATCTATTCATCGATATGGACTAATCTTTTGTTTTTTTATTTTATTTTCGGTGAAAGATAGTAATATAGTAAAAACTAATCTGTGTGTCTGAAAATCTGAAATAAATTTGATCATTACAAAGGATTAGATTGTTTCTACGAAAAATCAATGATAACTGCTTGTATATCTCAGTTAGTAATTAGCTTTTTTTAAATTGATGTATTCTATAAAAAGTCTTGCAAGTAAAAATAACATAGTTGTTTTGTCATTCATTACAATAAATATATAATTATTAATATACATCAAATGAAAAACTACTGTTAGCATAGATATAATTATATCGATTCCTTTATTTGCTCACTAATTTCGTTTTCATTCTATATAGTTCCTTATTGTTCAGATGTCGAGTATAACACAGCTCTCATGGATTAATTCGATCTATGAAAAATGTTTAGCCAAAAAATGTAACTAATAAGTACTTTTATGTAAAAAGTAATTTTTATTATCATGAGAAGTACTAAATATAACTTTTGATATTACAATCAGATTAGTGAAGTAGTTCAAACTACAAATGTCAGATCAGGTTTGTTCTTGATCCATTTCATTCAATACAAACAAAAAATTTACATCTGCTGGTATCGACTGCTGATCAGTACTCTAGGATATCAAAAGAACAAATGTAATTGACTCTCTCTATCGCCTCACTTTCACTCATGTTGAATCATTATTAACTACTTTCGATCTATGCTAATAATAGAAGTCGGTGACATTTTATTATTTTATATTTTAATTAATATAAGTTTTACATCTAAGTTTCCATTTTGTAGCATATCATTTTCTTGATCATGAGTAATCAATGACTAATCTCTTTCGTAGATTATGTGCTGTATGTCTTGAAAGTTGTAAAAATATTCCAAAACACTTTCAAACATAAAATCCATTTAAATGATTTGTTAAACAGATCTCTATGGGTGCTTATTTTCAATTAAGCAACAGTTTAGACTTCATTTTTTCTCTTCAAATATATTTCGAGAAAATATGAAAAAAGATAAATCAACACAATTCAATTTATAAGACTAATAATGTCACAGTTTCGCATAGATAAAGGAAAAAAAGTCGTTATATTCGAAATGGAACCAAGGTGAGAAGAAATCTTAAGCTTATTTCATTACCAAAACAATAACAAATTGTATTTCTGTAAAATATTTTTCCTCGATTATATCATTCCATTGATGTTGAAATGTTTCAAACAAAACTTATTAATCATTCTTTCATGAACATATACACATCATATAATGAAGCCATTCTTTTTCCTGACTTCCATATCAGCACGTTTATTCAAATAATCGGCATTCTTTCTTCGTCTTCAACTTCTTCCATCTTAAAAGGCTTTTTTTTTCATATTCATAATGATTCAATCTGTCTAGAAGACGTGCATTGTTAATAGAACAAGAATGATAAATATATTCTCAATACACATTCAAAAGTAACTTTAAATTACATATAGTTACGCATAACAAAATTCCTCTCAAATTAAACAGAAGAAGAAAAAAATTTTTTTTTCTTTCTTTTTCTCGTTCTTTTGTGTTCTCAACAATAATGTGAGTAGACGTATAGAATAGTCGACAAGAAATGAATAAAAAAACCCAGTAACAAACAATGCAAATAAATAAATTGGTAATACAAACACATGCATCAGTCATTTTTGACGAAGATACCATCGACGAACACGTAAATTCTATTTTCTATTCACATTTATATCTGTACTTGTACCGAGTTTATTTTCTTTCTGATAACTTCATCTTTTATATGTAAAAACAATATTATGTATTGAATAATTTTAGATTAAGACAACTTATTGTAGCTATGCATTACAAGAGAGATGGAACCTTGGATATGCGATACAGCTCATCAAAAGCAGCAATGTCATCTGGATTTGGCATGGGTTCTTTTGGATCTTCTGGAGGCTCAAACTATTCACCAATGTCATCTGGATTCGGCATAGGTTCTTTTGGATCTTCTCGAAATACAGGATTTTCACCCATGTCTTATGGATCAACCGCTTCTTCTGGACTTCACCATAAGAAGGACGGTACTTTGGATATGCGATATAGTTCTTCAAGATCAGCTGCATTTTCGGCACAACCTATTCATGTCAGTCGACCAGTTAGTTCCTTTGAAGCTCATCACAAGAAAGATGGCACTTTAGACATGCGATACAACTCTTCAAAAATTGCTGCAGCTTCTACGCAACCAAGTTATACTAATCGGCCAACTTCTTCCTCGGAACTTCATTATAAGAAAGATGGTACCATGGATATGCGATATAACTCTTCAAAAATTGCAGCCCCTTGCTCGACATTGTCTACTTATGCTAATCGACCATCTAGTTCGTCTGGACTTCATCATAAGAAAGACGGTACTTTAGATATGCGTTACAGCTCATCAAAAAATGCCAATCAATCAGTCAGTTCGTCTGGACTTCATCATAAGAAAGATGGTACTTTGGATATGCGATATGCATCTTCTAAAAGTGCAATGAGTAAAAACGCATCTGGATATCAATATTCTTATCAAGGAATACCAAAACATATTCCAATGACAAAAAGCGGTATTCCAGATATGAGAACAACAGCTGCTAAAGATTGGGTTAGACAGCAAGCTCAAACTGGTATAGAAGAAATACCTTCATGGATACCTAAAACTAAAGATGGTTCTTTGGATACTTCAAAAGCAATAACACAAGAATACTTAAAATGGAAAGGTACAACATTATCGAATTACGTTCCAGGTCAACGATTAGCGTATTATGATCAAAAACTGGAAGATATGCAATTCAGAAATCTTGTCGAAAATGCAAGAGAAGATGAGGTTGAAATGCCTCAGTATGAAATGTTACCGGAAACACCAGAAATGCAACGTCAATTGTGTCCTCAACCGACGAGACATTACAATACAAGACAAGATGATTATGATAATGATGACAATTCTCAATATGATACCTTACGTGATTCATCAGAAGATCAACATCATTATCCTTCTCGAACGACAAGAAATTCGTCTAGACAAGATCAACGTCCATATTCTTCTCAAAGAATGATAAATTCATCTAGAGAAGATTATGAATATGATATTCGTAGTGAAGTTTCAGAATCAATTCCAGTGATTAATTATAGAGATTTAAATATTAATCCAGAAGATAAATTAGGTCAAGGATCATTTGGTATTGTATTTAAAGGTGAATGGAATCATCAAATTGTTGCAGTAAAACAGTTACATTTAAATAGATTAACTAGACAAGAAAAAAATTCGTTTGTAAAAGAAATTAAAATTATGTCAACTTTAGGTGAACATACAAATTTAGTTCAATTATTTGGTTATACATTAGAACCACCTTGTTTAATTATGGAATATGTTGAATTAGGTTCATTAACTTATTTACTTCATTATTGTGAAGATCAACAAATAGAAGCAAAAATAACAGATGGAAGAATAAAGAAAAAACTTATTCTTGGAATTGTTCTTGGAATGAACCAATTACATGCTGTTAATATCGTTCATGGAGATTTAAAACCTCAAAATATATTAATTTCAAATGATTATATAGCTAAAATAACTGATTTCGGATTTGCAACATTACGCGGAAAAAGTTCAAGTTCAGTTGCTTCTTCAGTTACATCGAATGATGATGATGGAGAAGTACGTGGTACAGCAGGTTATATGGCTCCTGAACTTTTAAATAGTTCAAATCCACCTGAATGTTCTAGTGATGTTTATTCATTTGGTATTGTGTTGAATGAAATTATTCAAGAAGAAGAACCATATGCAGATCAATTTCAAAACTTTCTAGGACGAGGACCATTTGCAGCTGCTAATTATGCTAGATTAGGTAATCGACCACGAATAAATGCAACAACTCCATCGTTCTTTAAAAACTTTATTAAAAAATGTTGGGATACTGAACCTCGAAATCGACCAACATTTAAACAAATTTTCCATGACCTCAAACCTTCTCATATTAACTTACCGGACTCCTTTCAATTATAAACACTATTTTACATTTTTTTCTAATTAATAGTCTAGAATTCTATTGATTAAGATACAAAACTATTGTTGAGGGCGTGGATGTTAGGATTCTATTCTTTCCACACCCACACCCT